CAGCCTGCAGAATACCACCTATCCCCCCCCCCCCCAATACCTCTCTAACCGCACCAGCCTGCAGAATACCACCTATCCCCCCCCCCCCCCAATACCTCCCTAATCCCACCAGACTGCAGAATACCAACAATCCCCCTCTCCCCATTATCCCCCATCCCTCTGGACTTCAGAATACCACCTATCCCCCCCCCCCCCCCATTATCCCCCATCCCTCTCTAACCCCACCAACCTGCAGAATACAACCTATCTCCCCCCCCCCATCCCTCTCTAACCCCACCAGCCTGCAGAATACCACCTATCCCCCCCCCCCATTATCCCCCATCCCTCTCTAACCCCACCAGCCTGCAGAATACAACCTATCTCCCCCCCCCCCATCCCTCTCTAACCCCACCAGCCTGCAGAATACCACCTATCCCTCGCACCCCTCGTATACTGTTTTGTTACTGTATTGTCTCATGTTGTCCCCCACTACTCTGTACAGCGCTGAGCAAACCTTTAGGCGCTATATAATATTCCCCCCACCCTATTATCCCCCATCCCCCTCTAACCCTAATGGACTGCAGAATACCACCCCACCCCCCGTCCCTCTCTATGTGCATACATTGATTTCTTTCCCAGCAAACATTGCTGCTGCTTTGACTTCCAAGAGCCTGCCACACACAGTATATATAGGGAAAGGGCTCTTGGGAGATGTAGTTCTGGGTGGAGCGCTCACATCAATAGGGACTGAGCGCCCAGCAGTTGCCCTTGCAAGAATTTAGTGGCCCCTGTGATGTCACAGAAAAGGAAAAGCTACAGAAATGAGGTAAATATGTAATTCAGGGATCTGCGGGGGTGGGAGGCTTCGAGGGACATTTAGGTCCTGTACTCTGTTAGGTGTACCTGAAGCCAAAATGCTTGACGGCTTTTAATATTTGCTGAGAAGCTGAACTCTGGGCAGAAAAATGCATTTTACAATATAAATATCTTGGCAAACCCAGATATTACCAGTGACACCATCACTGGGCTGTACATTGCCTGGGCAGAGAGCTGTGGGAGGGATCAAGCAGGCTCCACCTACTACAGGGGGGGGGGTGGAGACAAGACAGGCCACCCTGCAGAAGGAGGGAGAGCTGAGTGGTGGGAGGGGGACCAGAAGGCTCCACCCACTACAGGAGGGGGTGGAGACCAGACCAGTCCTCCTGCACAAGAACAGAGGAGTGGGAGGAGTCTAGTAGGCTTCACCTACTAGAGAAAACTACAGGGTGGGGGGGGGGGGGGGTGGAGACAAGACCGAAATAGAGTGGTGGGAGGGACCCAGCACAGAAAACTACAAGAGGGGGTGGAGACCAGACCAGTCCCCCGCAATAGAGCAGAGATGCGGGAGGGGCCCAGCAGTGTCCACCCACTACAGAGGGGGCGGAGACAAGATTAGTCCCCCTGCACAAGGAGAGAGAGCAGAGGTGAGGGAGGGGCCCAGTAGGCTCCACCCACTGCAGAAAACTACAGGACAGGGCGGAGAGATCGGTCCCCCTGCACAAGGAGAGAGAGCAGAGGTGAGGGAGGGGCCCAGTAGGCTCCACCCACTACGGAAAACTACAGGAGGGGCGGAGACCAGACCAGTGACCCCGCACCAGGCAGTGAGCGGTCTGTATTCCAGGAAGTCTCACACCGGATGACGGACCGAGAATCCAGAAGAAGTCACATGACCGATGGATTTAGACGTTTGCTGATCCCGGAGTTCTCCTTTAAAAACACAAATACATTTTGATCTCTGAATACATAAAATTCCACTAAACCTGCGAGGGAAAAATAAATCTCCGTCTCCCGAAGCAGGCGGCCAGTGAAAACAAACAAAAAGTGGAGGTTTAAAAGAAATTTATTAAAGAAAATTGTAGAAAATTTCATAATTGTGTTTAAAAACCTTCCCCTCCCCCCCCCCCCCAATATTTCATATTTCATGTCGGTTTTCATTACATTCCAATTTGGGACACAAAATCCACATTCTTCCCTCGCTGGACCGCGAATCGCGGATGCTGCAATACAGTTCATTGGTGGAGACGGTCACATGGAGGTGGGAGTGGTCTGCTCCGGCGTGGAACGGTCATTTCCTGCAGACGTAATACACATCAGATGTGGAGGGGTGGACACGGCGTGGACTGGGCCCACCTTCCCGCCCCTCCACCTGATCTGACCTATTAATACTGGTCATACGTGTTACACGCTATGTACGGTTGGCGTCACACGCGGAGTTCATCCAACGGCAATTCATAGAGTTAGGGGTTCATGAAAATCTTAAGAAAGCAAATATCAGCACAAGGGACAGAACTACGAATCCCAGGTTCCCCCTTCAGCTGCTGGAAAATTGAAATCTCCCTCCTCAGATGGCCCCCTGCCCCCACAATCTGCCAGTGCAGCAGGGGTTAATAGAGCTGACGGTCCGGTCACATGCACTCATCCAGACCCACCCTTTCTGCACCCCCCTCCTCCGTTCACAGAAGCCGTACTATAGCTTCAATGACTGAAACGGGTTCTATGAATGGAGGGAGGGGCGGATGATTGACAGGTCCATCTACTCATTCACAGTGTCGGGGGTTAATACAGCCAAGGGTCCAATCATATGTACTCATCAAGAGTGCCTGACTATCACCAACCTTTCTGCCCCCCTCCTCCGTTCACAGAAGCCGTACTATAGCTTCTAGGTATGAAACAGGTTCTATGAATGGAGGAAAGGGCGGATGATTGACAGGTCCATCTACTCATTCACAGTGTCAGGGGTTAATACAGCCAAGGGTCCGGTTATATGCACTCATCCAGACTGCCCAACTATGCCCACCCTTTCTACCCCCTCCTCCGTTCACAGTAGCCGTACTATAGCTTCTATGTATGAAACAGGTTCTATGAATGGAGGGAGGGGCGGATGATTGACAGGTCCATCTACTCATTCACAGTGTCAGGGGTTAATACAGCCAAGGGTCCAATCATATGTACTCATCAAGAGTGCCTGACTATGACCACCCTTTCTGCCCCCTCCTCCATTCACAGAAGGTATAGCACAGCGTCAGGGGTTAATACAGCCAAGGGTCCAATCATATGCACTCATCAAGTGTGCCTGACTATGCCCACCCTTTCTGCCCCCTCCTCCATTCACAGAAGCCGTACTATAGATTAAATGCATGAAACGTTTCTATGAATGGAGGAAGGGGCGGATGATTGACAGGTCTGCCTCCTCCATTCATAGAATCTATAGTAGGATTTAGGAATGGCTGTCACAGCTCTATTAATCCTGGCAGACCAAACTATAGCAGAGGCGATGGGGGGGGCATTGGAGGGGAACATTTGAAGGACTGAGGGTGCCAGCAGCACAGGGGATTAATATTACGTGGTGTCCCTTGTGCTGATTTCTGTACTAACACTTTACAGCCGAAGACCCCAGGCGCTATTATTCCGCCCTTCAGCCCCATTTTCAAAAATAAATAAAGCAAATCCTTACACAGGGTGTATTTATGTGACCGCTCATGCCCCTCCCCTCCCATAGATCAGAGGGACGGGGGGCGGAGCCTACAGAAGACTCTCGGCAGCTCCCACCAACGTGCAGGGAGATCCGCGGAAACACTGAGCTGCTCTGAAGACAGCGGGGCTCGGGCTGCCGTCTATCCAACTGTGGAGGGCTGGATGAGGGGGGAGTGCTGTGACTTGTGACATCCTGAGACCTCCAAAAATCAGCCGAAGGGAAGAAAACTGACCACGCTAGCATGACTCTGCTTCCATGCCTAGCGTGGTCAGGAGCAAACAGGAAAGGGGTTGCTTTCTGAGGGGACTGGCAGGATCACCGGGTAGTAGGCTGTCACTAAGAGCAGGAAAACATACTTGGGACGTCACGGCGGGACTAAAGGAAAGGACTCTGCCCCGTAGGGTTCCCAGACACTGTCCATGTGCTGATCGGTGCGTTTGCCCTCCTCCAGTCTGAAGATCCTCCAAGTGGCTTCCTGGACTTCTCCTGAACCAAGCGGTGGAACTAAAATACACATCTAGTCTGAAGGGTTTCTGCGCAGCAGAAATAAAATATAAACAAACCATAATGGAGAGATCCTTGAAGGCCGGGACTCCCCGGGGCCTCGGGTACAATGTGGGGGAGGCAGGGACATAATACAGTGAAGAGGGGGGTGACATCCAGTGAAGAGGGGGGGGGGACACATCCAGTGAAGAGGGGGGACACATCCAGTGAAGAGGGGGGACACATCCAGTGAAGAGGGGGGGGACACATCCAGTGAAGAGGGGGGGACACATCCAGTGAAGAGGGGGGACACATCCACACAGATTCAGTGACATATGAACACATTAAATAGTAAAGATCTCTGCGCAAGCAACTTTCCCCACCGCACCGGAGTCCCGGAGTCCCAGAGTCCCAGAGTCCCAGAGTCCCAGAGTCCCAGAGTCCCAGAGTCCCAGAGTCCCAGAGTCGCATCGTCCACCGGCGGCTTCAGAAAACTCAACCCACGCTCCCAATACCAATTCATAGATTTGCTATTCCTTCCTTCTTTTGTTTTTTTTTTTGTTGTTTTTGTTTTCTTTTATTTATAGCGGGACAAGGCAACAAAAAAAAAAAAAAAAAAAAAAAAAAAAAAAGGTCTTTAGCGCCGTCCGTACAAGTGCCTGAGATCAGGTTGCCATATAAATATTTTAGAAAACGACAATTTCATCATTTGGTTATCAAAATACTAAAAATTTTCGTCGCCGCTTTAAAATCTTAAAAGGTCCACAAGACACGAAAGCCCTTGCGCCCACTTTTGTAGGGAGCTCTTGACATTTGATCTCCTCCCCCCCCCCCCCCACACACATTTTTCGCTCTTTAATATATTGGAGTCTCTGGACTGAGCCGGGGCGGCGCTGCGACGTTCAGAGGTCCCCCGATAACACTTCAGATGTATTTCAGGAAAAGAGAAAAGGATCCTCGTTCGTGTGTTCGGTCCCAGCGGGCAGCAGAGATGGACTTCCAGCCTCAGAGTCCACCCGGGAATCAGAACCGGCCAAACATATTGGAAGCTTGCTGGGGTTGTGTGTCTGAAAAGGGAGAGAGAAGACCCTTCAGTGTGCGAATGGAGGACTGTATACCGAGGAGGAGGGCGGGGGAATTAACAACCGTACAGAGGATACAGAGGAAGGATACAATGTAGAGGACACAAACCGTACAGAGGATACAGGGGAAGGATACAATGTAGAGGACACAACCGTACAGAGGATACAGAGGAAGGATACAATGTAGAGGACACAACCGTACAGAGAATACAGGGGAAGGATACAATGTAGAGGACACAACCGTACAGAGGATACAGAGGAAGGATACAATGTAGAGGACACAACCGTACAGAGGATACAGGGGAAGGATACAATGTAGAGGACACAACCGTACAGAGAATACAGGGAAGAAGGATACAATGTAGAGGACACAAACCGTACAGAGAATACAGGGGAAGGATACAATGTAGAGGACACAACCGTACAGAGAATACAGGGGAAGGATACAATGTCAGAGGACACAACCGTACAGAGGATACAGGGGAAGGATACAATGTCAGAGGACACAACCGTACAGAGGATACAGAGGAAGGATACAATGTAGAGGACACAACCGTACAGAGGATACAGAGGAAGGATACAATGTAGAGGACACAACCGTACAGAGGAATACAGAGGAAGGATACAATGTAGAGGACACAACCGTACAGAGGATACAGGGAAGGATACAATGTAGAGGACACAACCGTACAGAGAATACAGGGAAGATACAATGTAGAGGACACAAACGTACAGAGAATACAGAGGAAGGATACAATGTCAGAGGACACAACCGTACAGAGAATACAGGGGAAGGATACAATGTAGAGGACACAACCGTACAGAGAATACAGAGGAAGGATACAATGTAGAGGACACAACCGTACAGAGAATACAGGGGAAGGATACAATGTAGAGGACACAACCGTACAGAGAATACAGAGGAAGGATACAATGTAGAGGACACAACCGTACAGAGAATACAGGGGAAGGATACAATGTAGAGGACACAACCGTACAGAGAATACAGGGGAAGGATACAATGTAGAGGACACAACCGTACAGAGAATACAGGGGGAAGGATACAATGTAGAGGACACAACCGTACAGAGAATACAGAGGGGAAGGACACAATGTAGAGGACACAACCGTACAGAGAATACAGAGGAAGGATACAATGTAGAGGACACAAACCGTACAGAGAATACAGGGGAAGGATACAATGTAGAAGGACACAAAACCGTACAGAGAATACAGAGGAAGGATACAATGTAGAGGACACAACCGTACAGAGAATACAGGGAAGGATACAATGTAGAGGACACAACCGTACAGAGAATACAGGGGAAGGATACAATGTAGAGGACACAACCGTACAGAGAATACAGAGGAAGGATACAATGTAGAGGACACAACCGTACAGAGAATACAGGGGAAGGATACAATGTCAGAGGACACAACCGTACAGAGAATACAGGGGAAGGATACAATGTAGAGGACACAACCGTACAGAGAATACAGGGGAAGGATACAATGTAGAGGACACAACCGTACAGAGGATACAGGGGAAGGATACAATGTAGAGGACACAACCGTACAGAGAATACAGGGGAAGGATACAATGTAGAGGACACAACCGTACAGAGAATACAGGGGAAGGATACAATGTAGAGGACACAACCGTACAGAGAATACAGGGGAAGGATACAATGTAGAGGACACAACCGTACAGAGAATACAGGGGAAGGATACAATGTAGAGGACACAACCGTACAGAGAATACAGGGGAAGGATACAATGTAGAGGGACACAACCGTACAGAGAATACAGGGGAAGGATACAATGTAGAGGACACAACCGTACAGAGAATACAGGGGAAGGATACAATGTAGAGGACACAACCCCGTACAGAGAATACAGGGGAAGGATACAATGTAGAGGACACAACCGTACAGAGAATACAGAGGAAGGATACAATGTAGAGGACACAACCGTACAGAGAATACAGGGGAAGGATACAATGTAGAGGACACAACCGTACAGAGAATACAGGGGAAGGATACAATGTAGAGGACACAACCGTACAGAGAATACAGGGGAAGGATACAATGTAGAGGACACAACCGTACAGAGAATACAGGGGAAGGATACAATGTAGAGGACACAACCGTACAGAGAATACAGGGGAAGGATACAATGTAGAGGACACAACCGTACAGAGAATACAGGGGAAGGATACAATGTAGAGGACACAACCGTACAGAGAATACAGGGGAAGGATACAATGTAGAGGACACAACCGTACAGAGAATACAGGGGAAGGATACAATGTAGAGGACACAACCGTACAGAGAATACAGAGGAAGGATACAATGTAGAGGACACAACCGTACAGAGAATACAGGGGAAGGATACAATGTAGAGGACACAACCCGTACAGAGAATACAGGGGAAGGATACAATGTAGAGGACACAACCGTACAGAGAATACAGAGGAAGGATACAATGTAGAGGACACAACCGTACAGAGAATACAGGGGAAGGATACAATGTAGAGGACACAACCGTACAGAGAATACAGGGGAAGGATACAATGTAGAGGACACAACCGTACAGAGAATACAGGGGAAGGATACAATGTAGAGGACACAACCGTACAGAGAATACAGAGGAAGGATACAATGTAGAGAGACACAACCGTACAGAGGATACAGAGGAAGGATACAAATGTAGAGGACACAACCGTACAGAGAATACAGAGGAAGGATACAATGTAGAGGACACAACCGTACAGAGAATACAGGGGAAGGATACAATGTAGAGGACACAACCGTACAGAGAATACAGGGGAAGGATACAATGTAGAGGACACAACAGAGAATACAGGGGAAGGATACAATGTAGAGGACACAACCGTACAGAGAATACAGGGGAAGGATACAATGTAGAGGACACAACCGTACAGAGAATACAGGGGAAGGATACAATGTAGAGGACACAACCGTACAGAGAATACAGGGGAAGGATACAATGTAGAGGACACAACCGTACAGAGAATACAGGGGAAGGATACAATGTAGAGGACACAACCGTACAGAGAATACAGGGGAAGGATACAATGAATACCTCACAACCGTACTGAGATACAGGGAAGGTAGTTGTCGCACGTAGAGGACACAACCGTCAGAGAATACAGTCTGGAAGGCCTAAACTAGGAAAAACCGTAAGATGAGAATACAATGGAAGTGAACTACAGGGTTACACGTAGCACAACCGTACAGGAATACAGGGAAGGATACAATGTAGAGGACACAACGCCAGAGGGGGAAGGATACAATGTAGAGGGGCAACCGTAAAGAAATCTATCCCAACAGGGGAGGACAATGTAGAGGTCTCAAGGGACACATGAGGGTGATACAGGGAAGGATACAATGCAGAGGACACAACCGTAAGAGAATACAGAGGAAGGATACAATGTAGAGGACAGACACCGTACAGAGGGCCAGGGGAAGGATACAATGTAGAGGACACAACCGTAGAGAGACATACAGAGGGCCGGATACAATGTAGAGGACACAACCGTACAGAGAATACAGGGGGATACAATGTCCAGAGACAGGAGGGCCAGGGGAAGGAATGTCAGAGGACACAACCGTACAGAGAATACAGGGGATAACAATGTAGAGGACACAAACCGTAACAGAGAATACAGGAAGGATGACAATGGGGTACAGAGAATTACAATCACCAGGTAGAGGACACAACCGTACAGAGAATACAGGGGACCACCAAGGGGGAATACGGGGAAGGAAGGATACAACTTCAGACCACAGGGGGACCCGGGGGTGTAGCGATAAATGGAAGGATACAATATCATAGGACACACACCGTACAGAGAATACAGGCCCCGGATGAGGAGAATACAAAGTAGGGACACAACCGTACAGAGAATACAGAGGAAGGATACAATGTAGAGGACACAACCGTACAGAGAATACAGGGGAAGGATACAATGTAGGGACACAAGGACACAGAGAAATACAGGGGAGGAATACAATGTAGAGGGGGCAGACAGAGAATAAGGGGAAGGATACAATGTAGAGGACACAACGTACAGAGAATACAGGGGAAGGATACAATGTAGAGACACAACCGTACAGAGAATACAGAGGAAGGGACTACAACGTCAGAGGACACAACCGTACAGAGAATACAGAGGAAGGATACAAGAATACCTCACTACTTACTGGATAATTGCTGCTGTAGTTGTCGCACGAGAGCCGCCGTCTGTTGTTTGCTGGAGAGTACTGCTGAAGGCCTTGTCTCTGAAACTGAAAATGTAAGATGTGCTGGAGGACATCAATGGGTGAACTACAGGGTTTACACGTAGCACAGGGGAGCCGGGGAGGGAAGGGGCAGGAGACACCAGGGGACAAGGGGCCCGGGACGACGGGAAGGATACAATGGGGACACAAGGGGCCGCGGGATAGATTAATACATCCCAACCACAGGTGGGACAGATGCCCAAGAGGTCTCGGGGGACACATGCAAGGGGGCCCGGGAGGACACATGCAAGGGGGCCCGGGATAAATGAAATCTATTCAAACCACAGGGGACAGACACCAAGGGGGGCCCGAGAGATACAATGGGGAGAGACACAACCAATGGGGGCCCGGGGAGAGAGGCCTTACACCAAGGGGGCCCGGGGAGAGAGACACCAAGGGGGCCCGGGGGGGCAGACACCAAGGGGGCCCGGGGGGGCAGACACCAAGGGGGGGGGGGGGGGCAGACACCAAGGGGGCCCGGGGGGGACAGACACCAAGGGGGCCCGGGGGGGAAGACACCAAGGGGGCCCGGGGGGGCAGACACCAAGGGGGGCCACAGACACCAAGGGGGCCCGGGGGGGCAGACACCAAGGGGGCCCGGGGGGGCAGACACCAAGGGGGCCCGGGGGGCAGACACCAAGGGGGCCCGGGGGGGAGCAGACACCAAGGGGGCCCGGGGGGACAGACACCAAGGGGCCGGGGGACAGACACCAAGGGGGAGACACGGGGGGACAGACACCAAGGGGGCCCGGGACGGCTATTCCAACCACAGGGGGCAGACAGACACCGCCAAGAGGGGGAGGACAGACACCGGGGGGGCCCGGGAGGACACATGCACAACCGGGGGGGCCCGGGAGGACAGAAATCCGGGGGGGCCACAGGGGACAGACACCAAGGGGGCCCGGGAGGACAGACACCAGGGGGGGCCGGGGGAGGGGACAGACACCAAGGGGGCCCGGGGAGGACAGACACCGAAGGGGGCCCGGGGGGGGGCACACAAGGGGGCCCGGGAGAGAGGGACACCAAGGGGGCCCGGGAGGACAGACAGGGGGGGGGGGCCCGGGAGACACCAAGGGGGCCCGGGGGGACAGACACCAAGGGGGCCCGGGGGGACACCGAGGGGCCCCAGACACCGAGGGGGCCCGGGGGGACAGACACCAAGGGGGCCCGGAGGAATTAGACACCAAGGGAGGGGCCCGGGGGACAGACACCAAGGGGGCCCGGGATGAAGACATCTATTCCAACCGGGGGACAGACACCAGGGGGCCCGGATGAATGAAATCTATTCCAACCACAGGGGACAGACACCAAGGGGGCCCGGGAGGACAGGGGGGGCCCGGACATGAACCAAGGGGGCCCGGGAGGACAGACCCAGGGGGCAGACACCAAGGGGGCCCCGGATGAATGAAATCCGGGGGGCCCGGGATACAGACCACAGGGGACAGACACCGGGGGGCGCCCGGGAGCCCGGGGGAGGACAGACACCGGGGGGGAGGACAGACCCGGGAGGAAGACACGAGGGGGCAGACCGGGGGGGCCCGGGAGGACAGACACCGGGGGGGGATGAATTAACGCCAAAGGGGGCCCGGGAGGACAGACGCCAAGGGGGCCCGGGAGGACAGACACCAAGGGGGCCCGGGAGGACAGCCACCGGGGGCCCGGGAGGACACACGACACCGGGGGGGGGCCCGGGAGGACAGACACCGGGGTGGGGGGGCCCGGGAGGACAGACACCAAGGGGGCCCGGGAGGACACACACCAAGGGGGCCCGGGGAGGACAGACACCAAGGGGGCCCGGGAGGACAGGACACCGCCAAGGGGGCCCGGGAGGACACACACCAAGGGGGCCCGGGAGGACACACGCCGAGGGGGCCCGGGAGGACACACGCCAAGGGGGCCCCAAGGGGGCCCGGGAGGACACACACCCGGAGGGACACAAGGGGGGGCCCGGGAGGACACACGCCCCGGGAGGACACACGCCAGGGGGCCCGGGAGGACACACGCCAAGGGGGCTATTCCAAACACAGGGGGACAGACGCCAAGGGGGCCCGGGAGGACCCGGGAGACACACGCCAAGGGGGCCCGGGAGGACAGACACCACCAAGGGGGCCCGGGATAAATTAAATTATTACAACCACAGGGGACCCGGGAGGACACACGCCAAGGGGGCCGGGAGGACACACGCCAAGGGGGCCCGGGATGAATGAAATCTAGTCCAACCAAGGGGGCCCGGGAGGACACACGCCAAGGGGGCCCGGGAGGACACACGGGGGGCCCGGGAGGACACACGCCAAGGGGGCCCGGGAGGACACACGCCAAGGGGGCCCGGGAGGACACACGCCAAGGGGGCCCGGGAGGACACACGCCAAGGGGGCCCGGGAGGACACACGCCAAGGGGGCCCGGGAGGACACACGCCAAGGGGGCCCGGGAGGACACACGCCAAGGGGGCCCGGGAGGACCACGGGAGGACACACGCCAAGGGGACCCGGGACAAATTAAACTGATTCCAACCAGAAGGCAGAACATACAAACAACAAGGGGGGGGTTCAGGTAACACTTTGAAGAACATGTCCTTACCGTACTTACCATGGGCTGCTGAGGGGCCAGTGCCTGCATGCCGAGTCCGGGGGCTGGCCCTGTGTCTGAGCCTGTGGTACCGCTGCGACCTGCTGAGGTGGTGGCTGTGGTTGAGGAGGTGCCTGGGGCTGAGGAGGTGCCTGAGGTTGCTGCTGCTGCTGCTGCTGCTGCTGCTGTTGTTGTTGCTGTTGTTGCTGCTGAAAGAAGAGAGTGTGTTCAGCAGGGAAGTCCGGCGATCCCCCCAACACCGCCAGCCATTGGCTCACTTACCCGTAACATCTGCTGCTGCCTCAGATACTGTTGCTGCTGCTGCTGCTCCGGTAACATCTGAGTGGGTCGGACCGCAGCCTGAACTGTCTGTGCGGTCATGTGACCCATCCCGGACATCATGCCGGCCTGTGGCATCTGTTGGTGCTGGAACCTGAGAGAAGAAACGTCACGTCACGGGAGGTTCCATTCACCACCACAGATGGACAGAGGCAGAGATTGGACCCTTCCATTACCTCTGAGCGGTCTGCGGATTGTGGGCGTAGCCCGCTTGTTGGTGGACGTAGCCGCTCGGCCTCTGCTGCATCTGACGCACAGGATCAAGTAGGGTGCCGCCTGAAGGTGGAAGGGAGCCGCCATACGTCTGGGCGCTGTACGCGGGGGGCACCAGGCCGCCCCCCTGAGAGGGAGGTGGGTGCTGCTGCTGCATGGGCACGTGGGGGGTGTACGGCGTATACCCCTAGACAAACAAAGGATAAAATGTACAAAATCAGTTCAACGTGTACCCCACAATGCGACCATCAAATGTACATTCAGCACCAGAACTGGACCTGGTATCAGAGCTCAGAGGGTGGGCCGCACCCGGCGCCAATAACATGTATTGTGAGAGAGTAGAGCAAGCAGAGAGATCAGCTCATCAGTCCCCTTCCGGTCCGGACGCTTCCCCCCACTTCCGGTCCGGACGCTTCCCCCCACTTCCGGTCCGGACGCTTCCCCCCACTTCCGGTCCGGACGCTTCCCCCCACTTCCGGTCCGGACGCTTCCCCCCCCACTTCCGGTCCGGACGCTTCCCCCCACTTCCGGTCCGGACGCTTCCCCCCACTTCCGGTCCGGACGCTTTCCCCCCCCTCCCTTCCGGTCCGGTCCGGACACTCCCCTCCCAGTCCGGACACTCCCCTCCCAGTCCGGACACTCCCCTCCCCTTCCAGTCCGGACACTCCCCTCCCCTTCCAGTCCGGACACTCCCCTCCCCCTCCTTCCAGTCCGGACACTCCCCTCCCCTTCCAGTCCGGACACTCCCTCCCCTCCCCTTCCAGTCCGGACACTCCCCTCCCCTTCCAGTCCGGACACTCCCCTCCCCTTCCAGTCCGGACACTCCCCTCCCCTTCCAGTCCGGACACTCCCCTCCCCTGCCAGTCCGGACACTCCCCTCCCCTGCCAGTCCGGACACTCCCCTCCCCTGCCAGTCCGGACACTCCCCTCCCCTTCCAGTCCGGTCCGGACACTCCCCTCCCCTTCCAGTCCGGACACTCCCCTCCCCCCTCCCCTCCCCTTCCAGTCCGGACACTCCCCCCCTTCCCTTCCAGGCCAATTTTCAGCGCTATCACACTTTGAATGACAATTGCGCGGTCATGCAACACTGGACCCAGATGAATTTTTTAGCATTGTTCTGAGACAGATAAAACTTTATTTTGGTGGTATTTATTCACCGCTGGGTTTTTTTTTTTTTTTTTTTTGCTATATAAGTAAAAAAGTCCAAAAATTTTGAAAAATAAAGTGTTTTTCTTATACAATTTTGCAAATAAATTATATTTCATCATAAATCTTGGCCAAAATGTTTTCATCTATCTTTGTAGTAAAAAAAAAAAAAAAAATTATCCAAATTAGTTTATAAGCAAAAATGATAATTTTTCAAATGTTTTTTTTAAAAATTTTTTATGTTTTTTTTTTTTAAACATACTGTCACCCTAGCAGTGTGGGGTCACCATAGTGACACCATACTACTTGTGGGGGGTGAGGAAGATTTTTTTTTTTTTTTTTTTTACACGGATTGTTTTTACACCCTTAGCGTCAAGCTGCCGCAATTAAAAAAAATACATATGTGCTGAGAGCACGCAGCCATTGAGAAATACTGTGAGAGCTGTGATTGGTCACAGCTTGTCACATGGCAAAATGCTGTTGTGAATGGCCCTGTACCATGCGACCTCTGTGATCATCCACAGATTTCACAACCATTTCTTCTTCTGAAGCCATTGAGAAATACTGAGTGAGCTGTGATTGGTTACAGCTGGTCACATGGTACAAGACTGTTGTGAATGCCCTGTACCATGTGATCTCTGTGGTCATCCACAGATTTCAGCGATGATGTCAGAAGTGACATCTTCTTTACGATTGGCCAATCAGTGATCACATGAATCGGGACCCGTACAGCGATTGGTGTCCGGAGGGAGCGCATACAGACAGGGAAGTGGGAGGACTTTATAAACGGCAACCAGCTCCTGCACTGTACATGGGCCGGACGGGAAGTGGTTAACCCCTTGGGTCACATGACTCAAGGGTTTCGGAAGCTGGGCGGGGTTTTAGGATCATGTGACCGCCCGCCGTGATGGTTTATCACGGCGGTCACATGACCCTAAAACCCCACCCTCCTCCCGGGTTCCGAAACCCTTAAAGGGCCAGGAGGCGGGCGGGGTTTTAGGGTCACATGATCGGGAAAGGGGAGATGGGGACCTTTCCGTGAGTACCGCACATGTGTGTTGGGAGCGTGCACACAAACGTGCGTCCGCTCGGCGTCAAGGCCCAGACACCGGGATGATGCACAATTGCGTGCGCTCGGCGTGAAGAGGTTAACCTCCGGGCCTGGACGCCGTGTGGACGCACGTTTGCGTTCTATTAAAAAAGGACATATGTGCTGAGAGCGCGCGCCCTGCCTGCTCCCAACACACATGTGCGGTACTCACGGAAAGGTCCCCATCTCTTCTTTCCCGATCATGTGACGTCACGGCGGTCACATGACCCTAAACCCCGCCTCCCGGCTTCTGAAACTCTTAAAGGGCCGGGAGGGGTTAATATGCTCCAGTCATGTGATCCTGCAGCTCCGGCTCATGAAGCACTTGACAACGGCTGGAGGAAGCTGTGGGGGGGTCACCCATAGGCCCAGCCACTGTCAGCGCTCCCTCCTCTCCCCTGCAGCAGCCGCTCGCTGACACAGGAGAGCTTCTGGATCACAAATAGAGAAATACAGAGTCACGTCGGAGGATTTCCAATATCCAGACTCCGGCTTCTCCTCTCACTGTGTCTGGAGTTCCCCTTTATCATCCGACTGGAGGAAGACAGGAATGTGAAGGACAATTGGAGTCATGAAAAGACGTACCTGTGAAGGTGTCATGGAGCCGTACTGAGGTGTGGGGGTCATCTGCCGGACAGGCTGGCCCATCATCCCCTGCGTCTGCTTAGGAAGGAAATATGGGATCATGAACGGTCCAAACGCAGATCTGTACATTGTATACTGTGTGACCGGCTGAAGAAAGTCGATGCACATTCACAGCATGATCTACAAGAACACCATCCACTGTGCGACCGTCCGGGCCACGGCTGGTCTATACCATCCACTGTGCGACCGTCCGGGCCACGGCTGGTGTATACGGGCCACGGCTGGTGTATACGGGCCACGGCTGGTGTATACGGGCCACGGCTGGTGTATACGGGCCACGGCTGGTGTATACGGGCCACGGCTGGTGTATACGGGCCACGGCTGATCTATTACAGTGTTTTATTTTCAATTTCTGATTGCCTTTCAGAGGTGTGAGGGTCTCTATGGTGCTCACAAAGTTTTAAGGGTTCCCCTAGTGCAGGATTCATTTGCATTCACCTTTTAAGGGACAATCTCCTCCTATATACGCGCAGCTCTGTGGCGTCACTGGGGATTTATGCGGTTCAATTAGT